GTTACCAATACCTTTTTTTTTTTTTTGGGGGGGGGGGGGGTACCTTATGATAATTATAGTATAATGGGCCCCCAAACCCAATTCTTATTAGTAAGGCTCCTCGACTCCTGCAGGGTTGCAAAGATACTCAGTGGTGTTAATTTTGAAGGCCTCGGCCCCTGCGTGGGTGGATGGGTGGGTGGGTGGGTGGGTGGGTGGGTGGGTGTGGGTGTGGGTGTGGGTGTGGGTGTGAGGCCCATAAAGCGGCTTTGAGTTTCAGGCCAGCATTTCAGGATGCACTTGCGGTTCATTCTACGCGAGAATGCTTGAAGTAGCAGACATCGCGGGGTGATGATATGCTTTTCGAACGATCATGCTGTCTTGGCTTAAGGGTCACACATGCGGGCTTGAGCACCGAACTACAATCTGTGTTGGTCTGCAGAGAACGCGAGTCGACTTAGCATGCATGGGCTAGCGGTGACCTAGCAGGGCACACCCTTGTGCGACTGGATGTGAGAGCAAGGCTCAGTCTGGATTCCTTTGAAGGAACTCAATCTAAATTACTACGGGTCCTTATTATGCTAACACAGATTCAGTTCCTTAGCAAGAACCCAGCAGTTTGTCGGTGTCTGCTAGCGTGGCTTTTGCGCAGTCATGCAATGCATAGCGGTTGGCCTACAATTGAGTAGGATCCTCGAGCATGGACAACTACGTAGTAGTTCTATGTGTTATAAATATATATATATATATATATTTATATTTATTTTTATTTATTTTTTTATTTATTTTTGTTTATTTTTATTTATATTTATATATATATATATATACATATATATATATGTATTTATAAGATATGTATATATATATATAGACAGAGAGAGTGAGAAAGACCGACACAGGCAGAGTCTGATAGAGGTGCAGTGTAGTTCTATTTCCCACAAAAGCAGTCGTCGCTATCTTGGCCGTTCCGCCTTAATTCTCAACCCCTTGTTCTAGTATAGGGGCCTAAATCATTGCCAATGCTATTTTTTGGGGGGGGTTCCTTATTATACTTAAAGTTTAATGTACTTCAAAACCCTGTTGACATTATGAAGGCCCTTTTGTTTACTTGCACCCATGAGCTCCTGTAACCCTGCGCCGTCAGACAAAAGGTGTGCAGAGAAAGCGGATGGATACCCAGCTTTGTCTTGGAAGCGAAGCAGCCAGGGACTTGCGAAGCTGTGGTGCAGGGCTTAGGCGTTCGGGTGCAAGGCTTCGAGGTTTATAGGGGTCAGGGTTTAGGCGATCCTACGATGCTACGATTCGGCGACCACAGCGACGACGACAGCGACGAATACTGGGTCTTAAGCTTTTTGTCTCCACAGTCTTTTGATTTCTTGGCCGCTGGATTCGCTTCAGACTGAAGATTGCCGAGGCCGCCCTGTGTGCTGGACCTCTGCGTCGAGGCTTTTGGGTTTTGGGTGTGTTTCAGCCATTGAGGTGTGGCAAGGAGCGAAAGCGTCAGCCTGTGAACCCTGAGATTGTGCAGAGCACCGTCGATGCCCAGGGTGCTCCCTTTGCCGGTTGGTGGTCTTCTAACGTGTGCAAGTTGGGGGTTTTAGATGGGTTTGCATCTTTAGTCTCCAAAATCGTTGCGAGGGTGATCTTGCAATTGTCTTTCTTCAACTGACGACAGTACGCTGTGCATGCCAACAATTGCCGACACATGTATGAAGGCGTCTTGATGCGTATGGCTCATGTTCGTGCGTGTCACTGCTCACCCACACCACAACACCAGAAGCCATGAAATGCTGTTGCTCGCTGAAGGCAAGTTGTTCGAGCCGGCATGCGTTGCTTGACCATTAAATTCAGCTTCACGGATGTCAGCTTCTTTATCGTCATCATTAGGATACTTGTTATTGAGACTCAGTTTGTGCTGAACTGAACCGGACGTCAGCTCTGCAACTGTCCCAGCAACACCCCGGAGCTTGCACCAGGAACGACAACAGCGATTGAGACAAGAAAAGCTCAGCGATGCGGCAGCCTGAACCTCGATCTTCAGAATCTCCAGTTCCACTTGGAATTAGGGTTTAGGGTTCAGGGTTAAGTGTTTAGGGAAGTTTAGGGTTCAGGGCTTGGGGGAATCTGAAGTAAGGCTTGGGGCGTTGATCGTGTTTGAACTTCAAACGCTCTCGAGATACCTCGGGTGCTTTGGACAAGAGATGCCGTTTCAGGACATGGCTTTGATACTGATGGTCATCTAGGCTTCGAATCATATTCAAGATTTTCCAGATCTGTACACAGCCGAGTCTTCGTCTCAAATGGCCCCTGTTACTGGAATAGACACCAGTGGAGACGATGCCTTTGTACAGGAACCTTTTTTCCGAATGCTCATGAGTCGAGCATAGCAGAGTCGACGCTTGCATAGACGCCGATGCCTATGAGCCGCAGAGACTGTCCCAGGCCGTGCAGTTGTTGGAGCTCCTGAACGGCTGCCCACCAACGCCGGACGGACTGCACGGTGCCCGGATAGGCATAGGACCTACCAAGATTGTTCCTTTTGCTTGTCTGTGTGTTGTTCTGGGGCATTTGTTGTATGAAGTTACATATCTACACAGAATCCGTATGAGTCACGCGACTTAGAGCAAGCAATCTCCTAATTGTTTCAATCGGAAGCCCCAAAGGGTGTAGCAAGGCCGATACTCAGCCACGATTGGCTTAAGCGCGTCTGGACAGTCCTGACGAACTGAGCACGTCGAACATGCGAAAGGTTCAAGACCAAGAGTTCCTGCTCATCTGCGGCCCGCAAGATTTACGCACTCATCTCATGTCGGGGGTCTGGTCTTCTCTCCACCATGACATCAGCTACAGCCACAATCTCCAATACAGTGTCCTGAGGTGCTTCAGAGGCTATTCTTGTACTTTTGAGGTTTGGAACCTCAACTGCAACTTTTTCTCGCGCTCCCGGGCCTTGCCCCTTTGCAGTTGGGCTATCGAATCTCCCCAATCGAAGAGCAGAATTGGGCTGCTGGCTGCAGCAAGAAAGCACCAACGAAGCCATGAAGTGTTGACCGTCGAGCCCTCGGCCTTGAAAGCCACCACCATGGAGAGCTAGTCCCATGGCGACAGCTCTTCTCAAGCTGGAGGCTGGATGGGCTCGATGACCAGAGATTTCCAAGGAAGTGGGTAGGGTTCGTGGTTCTAGGATTGCGATCGCTCCCACAGCTAGTTGAGCTGGTAAATTGAGATGGGCTGGTCCAGGTCCTCCACCTGTTGTTCACGCCAAATGGCACGACAATCCTGTTCCAACTGAACGTGCCGGAATCTCACATGCCATCTGACCCGTCTCAATGTACGACTGCGGCGAAAAGCTTCTCTCAGATTGCGACTATGACGAAAATACGAACCACACACATCATTTGATGATGGCGCTGGTCATGATGACGATGATGGTGGTGATGATGATGGTCGTGATGATGATGATGATGACGACGATCATGATGGTATTGGTGAGTGTTGTGACTCATCACTACTAGTTTCAATGCTCGATTAATTTCGATCTTCCGTACGACGACTAGTATTGACGAAGATCGTTGGCATTTAAGTTGTTCGACGTTCTTGGCACTGGCATCATTCTATCATGTTTGCATGTGATCCCTACAATGTTCGGATTGCCCATATTCAATGAAATGCGAATTCAGAGTAGAATTATGGCTGGTTTCGGTGCGCCTGAGCACTCTTAACAAAAGTGCAGTCCATCCTCCCCGTCATAACTTTCTTCTTCTTCATCATCAACGGCAGCAGCAGCATCGTGTCATCGTCTTCGTCTTCTTCAGCATCGCCTTAAACGTTGTTACCAACGTCAAATTCATCGTTATCGTCGTCCTCGTATCACATGCCTACTGCTTCCCATCATCACTGTACTCATTGCCCAGGGTGTTTCACATCTTGTCGGCAAGACCCATCTAATATAGGGGCCTGAATAATTACCTATACTATTTTTGGGGGTTCCTGATTATGATTATAGCATGATCGGCCCCAAAGCCCTATTCTAACTATTAAGGCCCCTATATTCTGCCCTCCTGCAGGCTCAGGCGGAAGAGGCAGAGATCGTTCAGGGCGCCCCGGTGAATGTTTGACCGTACGGTTGAAGTAACGGTCACAGCAGTAGCAGTAGCAGTAGCACGAGCTGTAGCAATAGCAGCAGCAGTAGCAGTAGCAGGAAGGAGCGGGGGTAGGAGTAGGAGTAGGAGCAGCTTTATTAGTATTACTAGTAGTAGTAGCAGTAGTAGTAGTAGTAGTTGTTGTTGTTGTTGTTGTCGTTGTTGTTGTTGTTGTAGTTTTTGTTGCTAGTAATTGTAGCGGAAGGACGAGGAGGAGAAGGAGGAGGAGGGTTTCGTGGTGGCCATCGAAGTGCTGACAGACAGGTAGTTGTTCTAGTTGTGGATATTCGTGATTGCATCTTAGCATGTGCACTACATGAAGTCCCCCGACCCAAACTAAAGCTTTATCGCCATTCCAGAAGGACCGAGCTGGTTTGCTAGTTTGCTGATGTTTCTTCGATGCCGAGATCATGATTCTGAACCCAACTTGCCTTTGAGCCTATACGAAACATTCGCGGCTGAGGTCTTGCCCTCAAGGATGCTTTGGCTGCCGCGCGCAAAATCGTCAAGGCCCAGGAGCAGCGGGCATCAGCGGAGTTTGTGGAAAGTTGTTGGAGGGGTTGAGGCCAAGAAACGCCAAGAGAATTGGTGTTGCAGAAACAGAAACAGGATGATCAGATTTGTT